GGTGTTTACAAGCACTGGGTCGTTGTTTGCCAGCACTTGGTCGGTGTTTACAAGCACTGGGTCGTTGTTTGCCAGCACTTGGTGTTTACAAGCACTGGGTCGTTGTTTGCCAGCACTTGGTCGGTGTTTACAAGCACTGGGTCGTTGTTTGCCAGCACTTGGTCGGTGTTTACAAGCACTGAGTCGTTGTTTGCCAGCACTTGGTCGGTGTTTACAAGCACTGGGTCGTTGTTTGTCAACACTGAGTCGGTGTTTACAAGCACTGGGTCGTTGTTTGTCAACACTGAGTCGGTGTTTACAAGCACTGGGTCGTTGTTCGTCAACACTGAGTCGGTGTTTACAAGCACTGGGTCGTTGTTTGTCAACACTGAGTCGGTGTTTACAAGCACTGGGTCGTTGTTCGTCAACACTGAGTCGGTGTTTACAAGCACTGGGTCGTTGTTTGTCAACACTGAGTCGGTGTTTACAAGCACTGGGTCGTTATTTGCCAGCACTTGGTCGGTGTTTACAAGCACTGGGTCGTTGTTTGTCAACACTGAGTCGGTGTTTACAAGCACTGGGTCGTTGTTCGTCAACACTGAGTCGGTGTTTACAAGCACTGGGTCGTTGTTTGTCAACACTGAGTCGGTGTTTACAAGCACTGGGTCGTTGTTCGTCAACACTGAGTCGGTGTTTACAAGCACTGGGTCGTTGTTTGTCAACACTGAGTCGGTGTTTACAAGCACTGGGTCGTTGTTTGCCAGCACTTGGTCGGTGTTTACAAGCACTGGGTCGTTGTTTGTCAACACTGAGTCGGTGTTTACAAGCACTGGGTCGTTGTTTGTCAACACTGAGTCGGTGTTTACAAGCACTGGGTCGTTGTTCGCAAGCACTGGGTCGGTGTCTACAAGCACTTGGTCGTTGTTTGCCAACACTGAGTCGGTGTTTACAAGCACTGTGTCGTTGTTCGCAAGCACTGGGTCGGTGTCTACAAGCACTTGGTCGTTGTTTGCCAACACTGAGTCGGTGTTTACAAGCACTGGGTCGGTGTCTACAAGCACTTGGTATTTACAAGTATTGGGTCAGTGTTTGCCAGCACTGGGTCGGTGTTTGCCAGCACTGGGTCGGTGTTTGCCAGCACTGGGTCGGTGTTTGCCAGCACTGGGTCGGTGTTTGCCAGCACTGGGTCGGTGTTTCCCTGCACTGGGTAGGTATTTGCCAGCACTGGGTCGGTGTTTGCAACCACTGGGTCGTTTGCCAGCACTTGGTCGGTGTTTACAAGCACTGAGTCGGTGTTTGCCAGCACTAGGTCGGTGTTTACAAGCACTGGGTCTGTGTTTGCCAGCACTGGGTCGGTGTTTACAAGCACTGGGTCGGTGTTTGCCAGCACTAGGTCGGTGTTTGCCAGCACTAGGTCGGTGTTTGCCAGCACTAGGTCAGTGTTTGCCAGCACTGGGTCGGTGTTTGCCAGCACTAGGTCGGTGTTTGCCAACACTGGGTCGGTGTTTGCCAGCACTAGGTCGGTGTTTGCCAGCACTGGGTCGGTGTTTGCCAGCACTAGGTCGGTGTTTGCCAGCACTAGGTCGGTGTTTGCCAGCACTGGGTCGGTGTTTGCCAGCACTGGGTCGGTGTTTACAAGCACTGGGTCGGTGTTTACAAGCATTGGGTCGTTTGCCAGCACTAGGTCGTTGTTTGCCAGCACTGGGTCGGTGTTTGCCAGCACTGGGTCGGTGTTTGCCAGCACTGGGACGGTGTTTGCCAGCACTGGGTCGGTGTTTGCCAGCACTGGGACGGTGTTTGCAAGCACTGGGTCTGTGTTTGCCAGCACTGGGTCGGTGTTTGCCAGCACTGGGTCGGTGTTTGCCAGCACTGGGACGGTGTTTGCAAGCACTGGGTCGGTGTTTGCCAGCACTAGGTCGGTGTTTGCCAGCACTAGGTCGGTGTTTGCCAGCACTGGGTCGGTGTTTGCCAGCACTGGGTCGGTGTTTACAAGCATTGGGTCGTTTGCCAGCACTAGGTCGGTGTTTGCCAGCAGTGGGTCGGTGTTTGCCAGCACTGGGTCGGTGTTTGCCAGCACTGGGTCGGTGTTTGCCAGCACTGGGACGGTGTTTGCAAGCACTGGGTCGGTGTTTGCCAGCACTGGGTCGGTGTTTGCCAGCACTGGGTCGGTGTTTGCCAGCACTGGGACGGTGTTTGCCAGCACTAGGTCGGTGTTTGCCAGCACTGGGACGGTGTTTGCAAGCACTGGGTCGGTGTTTGCCAGCACTGGGTCGGTGTTTGCCAGCACTGGGTCGGTGTTTGCCAGCACTGGGTCGGTGTTTGCCAGCACTGGGACGGTGTTTGCAAGCACTATATTACTGCTGACATAAATGAGATAATATATATATATATATATATATATATATTATTATATATATATTATATATATATATATATATATATATATAATATATATATATATATATATATATTATATATATATATATATATATATATATATATATAATATATATATATATATATATATATTTATTATTATATATATGTCGTGCCCAATAGGTAAAACTTGCGAATTTGGCTTAAATAGCAACGCTCTTGCCGAATAAGGCAAGCGAAAATATGTGCATGCAATACTTTTGCAAAAATCACCCTGAGCCTAACGATAAACAATTTATTTTATTGTTTGTTTATTATTAAATTATTGTAAACTTATGTAAAATACATTTAGTTGGATTACGCTAAATTAAATTGAGCTTGTAATAATAAGGTTAGGTAAGTTCTCTAAGGTTCTTTTGGTACAAAATTATTAATTTTTACATTAGCATACTTGAAAAAAAAATTTAAACGTGTAAGAGAAATTTTTAGAAAGGACTTAATTGTAAACGAGTTCTTGTTAACTGACCAATTCTACCTATGTGTGTGTGTGTGTGTGTGTGTGTATTTTTGCCTGTCTGTACCTACCTATATACCCGTTTATATTATATTTATTGAACTGTACTAACGCAGAATTAGGTGCAGGTCTATTGGTACCGCCAAGTAACTGGTGCGTATGAGTGAGTATGTTGGCGTATAGGTGTGCACGAGACGTACTCGAGACCGAACGTCCATGCGTGAGGTGATCTCGGTTCAGGCTTGAACAGAGACAAGGAAAATGCGTTTTATAGTGTCACCAATTCACCTTGAAGTGTAGAAACTAAACAAACCTCTCATTGCATCACCGATACCGTTTTCCATCATACTGGTGCAAGGTACGCCTCTATTCCAGCATTTTTTTCCCTCTTGGTTTTAAATTAACATTGTTTATGAAAGTAATGTTATATCGGTGGTTTTGAAAAGCGACAAGCAGGCGAATGAGACACTTGTGTAACACCTGGGTATGTTTATTATGAAAACGTATCGCAAATCAGTGGCTTCATCAGTCTAATACAGAGAAAATCGATCAATGTAAAGAGGGTGTTGGAGGGAATCCGTCTGTCAGCCTGGAGATGATGTGTGCATTCTATCATCCCCGATCAGTTTTCATTACATAGAACACTTTCATTAATTATCGATTTTCTGAACTTTTTAATGAGTATTTTCAACAGCGTATAACTAAGGAAACTTTTCATAAGGATATTACAGATTCAGAAATGAAGTATAAAAGTCCTGGTATAGAACTAAAAATGATAAGTGGAATAAACTGTCAAGTAGCATCATTAAACACTTTCAGCAGTTTAACACATATTAAACAATTATATAAGTCTGGATGTTCAGATGTGAATAGGACTTGTTTAGCATGAGTTAGTATTGCTATCGCACTGCTAGTTAATTATGATATTAATTTCCTGAACTGTTTCTTAGGTTAAAAGCATATTGAGTGTACGAGCGGCGTCGTCACAATTCACATGTACACTAATTCAAGAAAGTTTTCGTTCCTAAAATATGGAACAAGGGAAATTTATATATATATATATATATATATATATATATATATATATATATATATATATATATATATATATATATATATATATATATATATATATATATATATATATATTATAAACAAGTTGGCCATCTCCCGCCGAGGCCGGGTGACCCAAAAAGAAAGAAAATCCCCAAAAAAGAAAATTCTTTCATCATTCAACACTTTCACCTCATACATAATCACTGTATATATATATATATATATTATATATATATATATATATATATATATATATATATATATATATATATATATATAACTTCATCCAGATAAGGTCGGAGACTCTTGGAGCATGGGGCAAGTGTGCTCTAAAGTTCCTGAAAGAGCTGGGTTAAAAAGTCATCATAGAAACCAAGGACCACAGGGCGGCCAGCTTCCTGTTTCAGAGACTCAGTGTTGCGATCCAGAGGAGAAATGCCTGCAGCATTCTGGGCACGCGGCCCACCGCCGGGGAGCTGGGCGAAGTATTCGAATTGTAGCTCTGAGTTATCTATATTGTTTTACTCTTTATTGTATTTTTGTCAATTTATTTTGTCTTTAAATAAAACTTATATTAAATATAGGGGGTGGTAGGAGAAAATTTTCAAACTACTTCAGGGAGAACCTTGAGTTTTCCCTGAAGCAAGTTTATTCTTTTCTCTGAGGATGAGGGTCCCCAGGACAGTTCCAGAGGTGGAACCTCCCTATTATATATATATATATATATATATATATATATATATATATATATATATATATATATATATACACTCACTGTATGTACATTAAAAGATGTCTCTCGATTTATATCTTGTTGTTCTAGTATGTGCATTTTATCCGAAGTAAGAACGAAACTTTGTGTTTCTTATTTTTTAAGAAATTCCAGTGATGACATTAGTCAATTCTTCTTTTATAATCAGTTGATAACACTATTTTTGTTTTCAAATTTATTAGTAACAAAAAGTTTGGAAATTGTTTTGTGTTGAGCGCCGGCGGTTGGAGCAAGAGGTGACCTTCACAATGGTCTTGCTGCTGGGCATATAAAAGGCTGAACTTTTCGATGTTATTCAGTCTGCCGAAGGAACTGATCAGTTTCACACAATGGTAAGTTCTGCAGCCTAATGACAGGAGGAGAAGCAGAGGCATAAGGATTATTGTATTTAGATAAATGAGGCTTGGATGCAACACTTTGGTATATTTTCTGACCGCAGTAAAGATACCCAAGTGTTACAACTATCTTATTTATCGTCTCGTTGGTTTAGTTTACCATTTCTTATGCAATAATGATAATGCAGAATTGAGATGCGCCACAGTTTTGGACATTAGTACCACTCAAGACCATCGTCGACCTGGTCCTCGAGACCAAAACCGACCTGGTGGTCGAGATCATAGCTGAAACGGTCAACCTGGTCTTCACGACCACATCCATTCGGGTCACCAGACCTCAAACGACCTGATCATAAAAAGTATATCAAAAATTAAGACACACAAACTAGTGATTAACAGCACAACCGGGTTAATCATTAATACAACTAAGACGTCAAACCTGACCATTAAGACCATAATTTGACCTAGTCAATACCTGTTCGGTATCAAACTAGAGGGTAGGTTAGAAACTAAGAGGAATGAACTTGTACATTCATTAGGCAGGTTTGGGCGTGTTAGGATTGGAGACAAGTTCATTTATGGGGTCTGATGTTCTGTTGTAGCATCTATGAATGAACCATACCCCGGCCGGGATTGAACCCGCGGTCCGAGACTCTCTGACCGCGGGTTCAATTCCGGCCGGGGTATGGTTTGTTTGCAATCGTGTTATTACGATTTCGTGAGTCATCTATGAATGAATTCAGGGAGACTACCTTGACTTGAATTCTGGAATTAGGAATTTCAGTGCCTGTACTCTGAAGGATTCGTGGGAATGTCGCGGTATGGTGGATTATTAAAACGTGAAGCCTATCTACTTTTGGTAAGAATGAGCGATTGGCATTGCCCAGAGTGGGCAACTCCCATTGTGTTAAAAATGCAAAAGGATATTCTCCATTGATGAATCAGTGCAAATGAACAGCAATAAATACTCTGAATTAATTTTTGGCCTTTTCAAACAGTAAAGAGTAGCCGTGTTGTTATTGGTTGATTCATCAGGGAAAGATTACCCGACGTACGTCTTCGTGTTTTTTCTGAGATGACCCAGACAACATCGCCGGTATTTTGGCGACTGGGAAGGAGGGGATACTGCAGAGCAAGAGTTACTAGCAATAATGTATCACAACATTAGCGACCACTGGCACTGACATATATATTTTAATTTCAACGAACCGGCCGTATTCCTCCGAGGCAGTGACCTAAAAAGAAAAACGAAAATTTGTCTTTTTAAATTTAGTAATTAATACCGGAGAAGGGTTACTAGCCTCTTGCTCCCGATATTTTTAGTCACCTATTACGACACGCATGGCTTACGGAAGAAGAATTCTGGTCCACTTTTCCATGGAGAAATTTATATATATTGAGAGTTTGCCTAATCGTTATTTTCAGGTATTAAAGTATTCTTGATAGGTAGCAAACAGGTAATATACAGCCTTAATGACCTTATGCATTATATAAACTTCAAACCCAATTAGTCAGGTAATATTTCAAAAAACGGAGTATATACAATGAAGTATTTATGTCTTAGTGTATGCCGAGGGCTTATTTTACTCTTTGTTGAAGAGACGGTGTACAGGTAGCATGCTGCCTTAATAACCCTCGTGTAGTGGGAAGGTTTAAAACTTAATTAATAAACCAAGACCTGAAGGTACTGATTTGGGACTTGTGGTTTACAGAAGACGATGCTTGCACTAGTAGTCTTGGCCGTCGTGGCTACCCTTTGTCAGGCCGGTGTTTACGGTGGCTACGGCTATGGACATGGTGGCTTCGGTGGTGGATACGGCTACGGAGGAGGACATGGAGGTTACGGCTATGCCAGTGGAGTGTCTACCAACAACTTCCACCTTGCTGGTCCCAGATATGGTGGAATCATCGGATATGGACATGGTGGTGGATATGGTGGCGGCTACGGTGGCTATGGCGGCTACGGACATGGAGGGTATGGTGGCTTTGGCTTCGGTGGCGGTTTCGGTGGCCACGGTGGATACGGATACGGCAAGTAAACGACCCGACACACGAAATCAACACAGAATAAGTTTTATTTAAGATATTCAACGATGTTATTGAAGTTCGCAAGCACGACCAATGATCTTCCACGTGTATATAGTGCTGATTAAAATATTTATGCATTTGTGAGTTTTCTATCCCCATGAAGTGTGTGTTTTTGTGTATAATCTTCACAAATATTTCACTCATCACCGCAGTGAGGTTGAAACCCAGGAGAGATGGCCACCCTTGGCCCTCGTTGTATTACCCAACAAACGTGGTGCTGACAGCACTTGAGAGACTTCGTAAATTTGAATGTGTCAGGAACATGTCTCTCTCAACTTTGGTATTCGAACGCTATTAAGGTGTTATACCACTTCATGAAAGAAAACAATCTCGTGTTCGTTTGGCACCGCTCTTCCATTATATTGCAATTGTGTGCTCATTATTCTTCCAGCTGATTACGTGTGAATGCAGCCTTGTACCTGACACACCACCAAAGAGAGAGAGAGAGAACCTAAGACAGAATACCACAGAGAAAGTGTCCAATTCAGAAATATCAGAGAGAAAGTGCCTAATTCAGAAATACCAGAGAGAGTGTGAGTGATGCCTGACTAGCTTGTGCTACTAGGTCTTATGCTGTGCTCCTTCCTTAAGTGGAAGTGACCTGACTAGGTGGGTCACTGGTCTAAGCCGGGGAGTAACATTCCAGAAGCAAAGTTCGTGCTAGCTGAAACTTATCAAGTTGATTCCCTCCCGCAAAGTTAGGATTAAGTGATGCACAAACTGGAAGAATAAGTGTCACTAAGCCTAAACTTAAGTGTTAAACTACCAAAATGAGTTACAGTAAACTTACATATTAAAGTAGCACAACGAGTTATCATCAGAGTTGAACTAAAGTAATGTAATAACCTTACTTTAGGATTTATTCACTCCAAGTTAGATTTAACTTACGTGTTAAACTCGCAGAATGAGTTATCCTACCAAATTAGTTAAAGCAGTAAAATTAGTATCCATCGCCTTATGGAGTTAAATTATATAGAACACAAATAATGACAATATATTTAAAAAGGATATTAAATGTGTAATATAATACTAGTAATAATTCTGGCAAGTAGATTTGATTACATTCACGAGTAAGAACCTGGAAAATGGATGTAGTCACGTTTGATAGAAATGCGTAGCTCCTATCACTCAGATGAAGAACTGGTCACCAGCAAATAGGTATCTTCCTTGAAGGTGTCTCGATGCTGGGAACTCTGTGATGGCTCCACCAGTGTGCTTACCTGTGTTTATTGTACCTTGAAATCATCAACATGATGGATGGCATAGAACTCGCGATCAGAAAGTCATAAAACTCCAGACCGACTCGCTAGCCTCTGGGCCAGCTGGCCACAATAAGGTCTGGAGTTTTATGACTCTCTGGTCGCGGGTTCTATCCCCACCCGTGGTATAGTTTATGTTCATCAAGTTCAAGTAGATAAATTGTGATAATAACAGTATATACACTTGATAAAAAATACCACTGTAAAAATAAGAAATAAAATTTGAGCGCTTCGTGTGCTTACATGTCTTCAGAAGATATGTGTGTAAGCACGTGAACGTACTCAGATTATTTTTTCCCATTTTCACTGTGGTATTTTTTTATATGCAATTGCGTATTTTATTGTGATTTCTTCCATACACTTTGTAAATATCCTCATGAGTATAGAACTCCCGTTATACGTGCACTGAAAGGAGAACTGCTTGTGTACACACGCAGAGTTATCGAATGGTATTAAGCAAGTGTTATGCTACCTTAATGTCATGTGTTGATGGGTTTTAAGCCCAATTAACCAACCAATCAACGGTGTAGGACAGCAATAACTATTGGAAAAAGATACAAAATGCAATCTCTTGAGGACATTGTGACCTCGGTCACTCCAGATGTATTTTTGGAGCGCCCAATGTCCCAGGAGTAAAACGTTTCTTTCCCCCCCCCCTTTCAAAAAAAAGTCCTAAAAATTTTGCATTTTGCGCTTTTTCCCGTCACTAGATAAACTGTCTGTAGTATACCTGTGATGGTATCATCCAAGGATATGTAATTATTTAATGATCAAGTTTTTTCTGTGGGACGTGAAGCCAAACTGATTCACGAGTCAACAGACACTTCACCAGTTAATGCGTCATTTGATCAAGACCAGCGTCGTTTACGTTTTCGTTAATCACGCGAATTTCCGAATTCAGACTGAATTCATCTGATACTGAATAACAAAAAGGCACAATACATTGATGGCAGGAACAACACACAAATAACCCGCACGTACGGGTTAATTGTGTGTTATCTGCTACTCAGCCGCCAACATCTCATTCACTGGGATGTAACTTCGAAAACTGAAGTATACTCCTCACGCATATTACAAATATAAAAATATTTGCCTTATTTCCTGGACGATAATGTTTTTGTGATATAATCCATAACGTATTTTTATACAAAGCAAAAAAAAATATCACGTTTTAAAATCAATATTATTTTTGTTTTGACAGTGATGATTGGCTGGTTTATTGGATTTAAATCCTATTAACTGCACGACGCCTCATTAAGACTGACTGTTACCTGTACACTATCAGTCAAGCATACTTTATTCTCAATTATTTCGAGATATATATATATATATATATATATATATATATATATATATATATATATATATATATATATATATATATATATATATATATATATATAGCAATGAAACCACGAACCAAGTGGTTTTGAATCATTTACCAAACTGCGGCAGGCCAGGATTCGACCCCACGACACATTGTCCCGCCTCAAGAGACCACACAATGTACATATTACCTTATCCACTCAGCCATCGGTCCTACAAACATGAGCCTAGTAATCTGGTATATGATTTAAAACCACTTGTTTCGTGGGTTCATTGCTATGATGAAAACATCATACAGACAATAAGCACACAGACCGGGCCGCGGGGGCGTTGACCCCCGGAACTCCCTCCAGGTAAACACAAATATTCATTATGAATTATAGTTGACTTTCAAAACTTTTGTACGAAATTGTTATTATTGTTGTTCCTTTTTTATTATTATTCCCACTGTATTTATTGGAAATCAGTAAATTTTTACGGATGTTACAGCAACCTGGAAATTATGAGAAAATCTGGTTTGATCCAAAGAAGAAAAAGTTAACTCTAATTCCAGGAATCAAGTATCCTTCACCAGCATTATGGCACTCCATATGAATGGTTCTCTGGATCAATAAAATATTTACTAAGCACAGAGTAAAGAAACTGACACATAAACAAATATTTTATTTAGTTCTATGTACACGTGGAAGGTCGTGCTGTGTGAACTTCAGGAACATCGTTGGTAATACTAAATTGTGTTATATTAGCTTTGGTCGTAGTGTCGGGTCGTTTACTTGCCGTATCCATATCCACCATGGCCGCCACCATATCCTCCGTAGCCTCCTCCGTAGCCTCCTCCGTAGCCATAGCCGCCACCGTGGCCATATCCTCCGCCGTGGCCATATCCTCCGCCATGGCCATATCCGATAATCCCGCCATATCTGGGACCAGCGAGGTGGAAGTTGTTGGTAGATGCTCCGCTGGCATAGCCGTAGCCTCCATGTCCTCCTCCGTAACCGTATCCACCACCATGTCCACCACCGTGTCCACCACCATAGCCGTAGCCAGCATGTACACCGGTCTGACAAAGGGTGGCCACGACGGCCATGACCACTAATGCAAGCATCGACTTCTGTAAATTACAAACAACATTTAGTAAACAACCCACAATCGGAACATTGACATCTGGAAGACAGGTATAACAAATTTCAGCGCTAGAGCAGTGATAAGGTTAGCATATGCAAGACTTACCATGGTGTGGAGCAAGTCAAGTCCTAAGGCACACTGATTACAACTCTCCAAATCCAGTCTTTATATACGCGGACCAGGTCTGTGTTGAAGGTCATTACTCCTACCGAGATATTAAAAAATCTAAATTCCATTCTCATAATCCAAAAAAAAAAAACTATCACATTGAAAACAATGGATTTCTTTTGTGTCTCTTACTATTTTCTCTGTTATTAAATTATATTGATTAATACTGAATCGGGGAATATTTATAAGCAAGTAACATCGAATATTATTTTTAAAATGTATAAAAGGCTACAGTTATATAACTGGTTTTTGGTTGTGTGATTTATGGTTAAGAAAAGCTTAGATTCCGATATATATGGGAGCTTAGTTCTTCTTTGTTCATGCCATTAATATTACGCATTTTTCTCTAGTACACACACACACACACACACACACACACACACACACACACACACACACACACACACACACACACACACACACACACACACAGTGGACAGAGAAAGGATGTTCCAGAGATGGGACATTGAATCAAGGGGTCACAACTGGAGGCTGAAGACCCAGATGAGTCAAGGGGATGTTAGGAAGTATTTCTTCAGCCACAGAGTTGTTAGGAAGTGGAATAGTCTGGCAAGTGATGTAGTGGGGGCAGGGACAATACATAGTTTTAAGACGAGGTATGATAAAGCTCATGGAGCAGGGAGAGGGAGAACCCAGTAACGGTCAGTGAAGAGGCGGGGCCAGGAGCTGAGTCTCGACCCCTTCAACCACAATTAGGTGAGTACACACACACACACACACACACACACACACACACACACACACACCACTCACATATATATATATATATATATATATATATATATTATATATATATATATATATATATATATATATATATATATATATCACTATAATTGATGAATCCTCTGGCTGGGAAAATGAAACCATTAGACCAATATTGAAACCTGTGTTGCTCTTGAATCTTACCAGTGTCCTGATTACAGGAATTAAGTAATTCAACTCCGATTTATGCCGAAATAGTAAAGCAAGAGAGAGGAGGAGAAATGCAAACAAAAGTGGATGTTAGAAGGCAGGAATAAGTATTGGACACATTTCAGTAATGGTCAGAGAAACAGACACTGGGAAGAATGCATGATCAGTGTTGTTACAGAGAGAGATGCTGTCCACTCTCTCAGGGAGAGCAGTGACTTCTAGTTATGCTAACTCTATGCAAGGCTTTGTAAATTTAGTTTCTTCGTGCTAGGTGTATTTTAGAAAGGTTAACTTTGGTTAATTTGCTGTTGGTATACAAAATAGCAAATCTGTATTCCAAAAATTCGTATATCTATTTTTTAAAGGATTCACCTGGGAGGAGTCTGTCTAGTGGTAAACATTATTTGTTTATCCCAAGTATGGAATAATTTATGCAGCATTAGGAGGTGTATTATTAGTAGCAGTAATAGTAGCAGTAGTAGAAATAGTAGTAGTAGAAATAGTAGTAGTAGTAGTAGAAATAGTAGTAGTGGTAGTAGCAGTAGTAGAAATAGTAGTAGTAGTAATAGTAGTAGAAATAGTAGTAGTAGTAGTAGAAATAGTAGTAGTATTGGTAGTAACAGTACTTGTAGTAGAAGCAGAAGTAGCAATCGGTATTAAATTTACTGTTGTCTTCATGGATAATTGCCACGCGTAATCGAGTTTGATAAAGAGATGGTATCTCCAGTACAGTGAATCAAGAGCTCATTACCAGCATCAAGACAGCCCCTTAAATAGGTAAGAGGAAGAGCATCTCTCAGTAGATAACGTGGGGATGTAATACTGGGAATATGTTAATTGTACACAAAATAAATCGGAAATGACATTTTAATGTAAACTCGAATTGAATAAGGTAAATGATTAATAAATCTAGTGTAATTAAAATTTATTTTTTTTAATTTAAAAGCCCAGTTAGTAAAGAAAAGTTAATATAAAATTATGAGCTATTATTATATTAAAATAAATTCTCAGAGTATATTCGTTAACAGATATACACGTTTTAGTTTATATAACCGAGATATACACACTATTCAGTGCAAATACACACACACACACACCTCTCATTGCATATGCTCAGAGAGATACATACCTCTTAATGTACATGCACTGAGATATATATATATATACACTGAGAAGTATGCATCTCTCAGTGTATATATACTGAGAGATTCATATCTTTGAGTGTATATACTCTTCAACACATTTAGTTAACAAACATGTAATTGCTCTTCGCGAAGGAAATTGTTTAGTCTCTCGTATAATCATAAGTGAAAGGAATTCAAATTATATATATATATATATATATATATATATATATATATATATATATATATATATATATATATATATATATATATATATGTATGTATATATATATATATATATATATATATATATATATATATATATATATATATATATATATATATATATATATATATATACAGGTGAAATGTATAGTTTAAATCTATAAACAAAATTGTAAAAAAAATTATGGTTATAGCTAAAAAAAAGCAAAAATAAAAATATGCAAAACAATAAAATTATATTAATGTTAATGGTAATGATAGTGAAAATAATAATAATAATAATAATAATAATAATAATAATAATAATAATAATAATAATACAAACATACTCCAATTTTAAAGATTTCTTTTTAGCAACTGTGATTATTGTGTGGAAAACGGTACAGGTTATTTTGCAATGTTGATACTATTGTTACGAGACACACGAGTGCTGAGTGAAAAAAAAAAAAGTGACTTGGGTCACCTGTCTGAGTCTATCACAACCTGGTATATGCGGTGAGAAATCCGGTTTCAATACATTCATTTGTTCGAGGCGCATATGAGAGAGCGTGAACGACTCCTAGTCTGAAGACTCAAGTTCGGTTCCCCTAGAACTGTTTATCAGATCATTTCGTTTGAAGACAAGCCACAGGGGCTAAGTATCCCGATAACGTTTTGCACTGTGTAGTGTTTCATGAAACTTTACACAGAGCGAAACGTTGATACAGTAAAAGCTTTTTCAGCAACCCGGGTCTTTGCTTCACTACTACGGGCAGTACGCTTATTTTTTTTTTTTTTAGCTACTAATAGCTTCCTGTTATTGCAGATTGTGAAATGCCTGTGTAAACATGGCTACACAATACCAACCAAACAAAAACGCCTTATAGATAATGTTGCTATTGTTAATTCTAGAATACAGTTCCTTTGATCATTACACAAATGTTCAAGGACGTCTCTGTTTGTTGGTAAACAATACGTCATTTCCGTTGTTTACTATTATTATGGGTAAATAATAATACGTCATTTCCGTTGTTTACTATTATTATGGGTAAAATTTCAAATATGTCAGAATATGTCAGAAAACGTCTCGCGTCGTTCTAAAACATCGAGATTTGCTATTATAATATTTTTCGTACATTAAGACGCAACCTCCAAGAAAAAGGTATGTACGCCGGGTATATTGCATGAATATACTAAAAAATATACTCATTTACCTGAAAAAAAGGATTTTATATCATCGAAAATGTTTTAAAAATGGGAGACAAAAATATATTTAGTAGTCACTATATTTTTTTTTTTTTGCTTTAAGAACACGTGATAATGATTTATTGATATGTTCCATTTAAAAGAAATATAACTTATCGTACAAAGAATAAGCGCAGAGAATATCTTATTCGTTAAATATAAATTGGTGAATTTTTGTTTTTACTTTCACCTAAAAAAAAAATGCTGAAGAAAAGACATAAAACGTCTACTTGATCATAATTAATTGATTTAATTTCTGCATGTTAGTATAATTCTTGTCAAATTTCTAACGTCTGATCGCCTTTACTTATTGATAAATTAGACACATGTGCATCACTTGGGTATCTTTAATGAGGAAACATATCACCACACAGTGGCTTCATTAGTCCATACAAAGGAGAATGATTCAGAACAGGACTTTAAGGTAATCAGTCCCTCAGTCTTGAGTCGATGTAATCGACTGATTACTTGTCGGTTCTCTGAACCATTCATCTATACAGGTTTAAGACCAGTGCAGTTGTACTGCACTTTACCAGACAGGAACACTATATATAATCTCAAAAAAAAAGAGATTAAAGAAAACTCTCAGTGAATATTCACTTGAGAGATAAACACCTCCATATTTACTCGTAATTTAAAACATACTATTGCGAGGGATATATAATAATAAATACCATACGAGGACAAATATTTATTACATGCAATGTGGTTTTTGGGACATTATTTATCAGTGTTTCTAAGACTTGATAAAAATTTAGTAAATGTCAGAAAAAAAAATAATTTTCATCAAACCAGAAATAAAAAATGCAGATTGGATATTGTGGATTTGCTGATCAAGATGTATCGACTTCTGCTTCACAAGATCAATAAAATACTTCCTTAGTGTAAGGGAAAACAAACTCAGAAATTAAATTTTTTTTTTTACTCTGTGTACACGTGGAAGATCGATGGAATACGTTTTCTATAATCGTGTTGAATAAATTATAATTTCGTGGTAGTCGCGATAGTAGTCTCTAGTTGTCTATTTGCCGTATCCGTATCCGCCATGGCCGCCACCAAAGCCAAAGCCACCATGACCACCGTAGCCGCCACCGTATCCTCCATAGCCACCATAGCCATAGCCTCCGCCGTGTCCTCCGCCATGGCCATATCCGATAATTCCCCCATATCTGGGTCCAGCGAGGTGGAAGTTGTTGGTAGATACTCCGCTGGCATAACCATAGCCTCCATGTCCTCCGTAGCCGTATCCACCACCATGTCCACCACCATAGCCGTATCCACCGTGAACACCGGCCTGACAAAGAGTGACCACAACGGCCATGGCCACTAGTGCAAGCATCGACTTCTGAAACCACAAACAACAATTAATACAAAACCACAATCAGTGCCTATAGATCTTAATAGCATGTATAATAAATTTCAGCGTGTGAGCCGTGATAAGGTAGGTGTACGCAGGACTTACCATGGTGTGGAGCTGGTCAAGTCCTAAGGCACACTGATTGCAACTCTGAAGTCCAGCCTTTATATACCCATCACAAAGATCATGCTGAAGGTCTTTGCTTCTGCTGCTGACGATTTGTAGAAATGCATCCAATTTTTTTTCTCTAGCAAAGCGAAAATATACACTAATTGTTTTCATTTTTTTTTTTGTTTTTTGTTCTTTGTTTTGTACACTGTCGCTATTTATTCAGTATGCACTGAAATTTAATTAACAATCCGAGAATATTTAAAGCATATAAATTAATATTGTTTACTAAATAATACGTAATGTTTGAATCGCATAGTAATTCTTTGTGTGGAAGTTAATACAAATATTCCGTTTCTTTTGATCCAGAGGCTAAAACTACCCAGGAACGTTTTGTATTCGTTAATCCAACCTCATTATTTTACGTTAATTTTCTTTTGCGAATCCCAAAGTTAATTTCTGATCATTTACTGTGTTCTAGACACACACACACACACACACACACACACACACACACACACACACACACACACATATATATATTATATATATATATATATATATATATATATATATATATATATATATTATATATATATATTATATTCAACAAGTCGGTCGTCTCCCACCGAGGCAGGGTGACCCAAAAAAGAAAGAAAATCCTCCATAAGAAAATACTTTCATCATTCAACACTTTCACCACACTCACACATTATCACTGCTTTTGCAGAGGTGCTCAGAATACAACAGTTTAGAAGCATATACGTATAAAGATACACAACATATCCCTCCAAACTGCCAATATCCCAAACCCCTCCTTTAAAGTGCAGGCATTGTACTTCCCATTTCCAGGACTCAAGTCCGACTATATGAAAATAATCGGTTTCCCTGAATCCCTTCACTAAATATTACCCTGCTCACACTCCAACAGATCGTCAGGTCCCAAGTATCATTCGTCTCCATTCACTCCTATCTAACACGCTCATGCACGCTTGCTGGAAGTCCAAGCCCCTCGCCCACAAAACCTCCTTTACCCCCTCTTTCCAACCCTTTCGAGGACGACCCCTACCCCTCTTTCCTTCCCCTATAGATTTATATGCTTTCCATGTCATTCTACTTTGATCCATTCTCTCTAAATGACCAAACCACCTCAACAACCCCTCTTCTGCCCTCTGACTAATGCTTTTATTAACTCCACACCTTCTCCTAATTTCCACACTCCGAATTTTCTGCATAATATTTACACCACACATTGCCCTTAGACAGGATATCTCCACTGCCTCCAACCGTCTCCTCGCTGCTGCATTTACCACCCAAGCTTCACATCCATATAAGAGTGTTGGTACTACTATACTTTCATACATTCCCTTCTTTGCCTCCATAGATAACGTTTTTTGACTCCACATATACCTCAACGCACCACTCACCTTTTTTCCCTCATCAATTATATGATTAACCTCATCCTTCATAAATCCATCCGCCGACACGTCAACTCCCAAGTATCTGAAAACATTCACTTCTTCCATACTCCTCCTCCCCAATTTGATATCCAATTTTTATTTATCTAAATCATTTGATACCCTCATCACCTTACTCTTTTCTATGTTCACTTTCAACTTTCTACCTTTACACACATTCTCAAACTCATCCACTAACCTTTGCAATTTTTCTTTAGAATCTCCCATAAGCACAGTATCATCAGCAAAACGTAACTGTGTCAATTCCCATTTTGAATTTGATTCCCCATAATTTAATCCCACCCCTCTCCCGAACACCCTAGCATTTACTTCTTTTACAACCCCATCTATAAATATATTAAACAACCATGGTGACATTACACATCCCTGTCTAAGACCTACTTTTACCGGGAAGTATTCTCCCTCTCTTCTACACACCCTAACCTGAGGGTCACTATCCTCATAAAAGCTCTTTACAGCATTTAGTAACTTACCACCTATTCCATATACTTGCAACATCTTCCACATTGCTCCTCTATCCACTCTATCATATGCCTTTTCTAAATCCATAAATGCAATAAAAACTTCCCTACCTTTATCTAAATACTGTTCACATATATGCTTCAATGTAAACACATGATCTACACATCCCCTACCCACTCTGAAGCCTCCTTGCTCATCCGCAATTCTACATTCTGTCTTGCCTCTAATTCTTTCAATTATAACTCTACCGTATACTTTTCCTGGTATACTCAGTAAACTTATTCCTCTATAATTTTTACAATCTCTTTTGTCCCCTTTCCCTTTATATAAAGGGACTATACATGCTCTCCGCCAATCCCTAGGTACCTTCCCCTCTTTCATACATTTATTAAACAAAAGCACCAACCACTCAAACACTATATCCCCCCCTGCTTTTAACATTTCTGTCATGATCCCATCAGTTCCAGCTGCTTTACCCCCTTTCATTCTACGTAATGCCTCACGTACCTCCACCACACTTACATTCTGCTCTTCTTCACTCCTAAAAGATGGTATACCTCCCTGGCCAGTGCATGAAATTACCGCCTCCCTTTCTTCCTCAACATTTAAAAGTTCCTCAAAATATTCTCGCCATCTACCTAATACCTCCATCTCCCCATCTACTAACTCCCCTACTCTGTTTTTAACTGACAAATCCATACTTTCCCTAGGCTTTCTTAACTTGTTTAACTCACTCCAAAATTTTTTCTTATTTTCATTAAAATTTCTTGACAGTGCCTCTCCCACTCTTTCATCTGCTCTCCTTTTGCACTCTCTCACCACTCTCTTCACCTTTCTTTTACTCTCCATATACTCTGCTCTTCTTATAACACTTCTGCTTTGTAAAAACCTCTCGTAAGCTACCTTTTTCTCTTTTATCACACCTTTTACTTCATCATTCCACCAATATATATATATATATATATATATATATATATATATATATATATATATATATATATATATTTATTTTAATTAGGCTGAGTTTGGAGTTTGATTAAGTCATGTTATAGCAGGTTACATAAACCTACAGAAACGTATAATGAACCAAAAATAAGGTTCTTTATAAGCAAACACTTCAAGAATGTCTGTGAAGAAGAGGAGGAGGTAGATGGAAATGCACATCGATTGTTTTCAAAAACTTTTGATAAATTACCTAATCTAAACTTTTTTTATTTTTCAAAAAGTTCACTATGCAAACAGATGTATGGTGAAACAAGAGTCCCATCGAAGATGAAGTTTTTATTCTAGTAAAGAGCTCTTGATCCCATAAATTAAAACCAATTTCCTTCTTTGAATAAAAATTAATTCCTTCTTAGTCCTCATGCGCCGTGTGATTCACATGATTTTAGCGCTTCCCCATAAATATAATATTTGAAAGCAAACACTAAGTAGTTTTTAAAGGATATTAATTGTACAAGCTGGATATAACAAGTGAGGTGCCACAAGGTTACGTTTTGTTACTTGCTCAGTTATTATACGCAAATAACATCAATTAAGGTGTCTTCAATTTGTTATCAAAATATACCAGTGACATTAAACTAATAAACAAACTTAGCTCACAGTAAACAATAAAAATTGTAAATTGGATTAATAAATGGAACATAAATTTCAGAGCAGGTAAGTGCAAATAAATATATATAAAAAAAAACAGTTTTTATGAAAACTACAGAGAATAACCAAATAAATGAAAGTAAAGATCGAGTAATGTAAGTGACCAACAATATGAAGTCAAGAAAGCAGTGAATTGAATCTT